TGTGTGCTCTCTCTCTCTGCCCAGCTGGGAGTTGTGGTCATTCATACAGCGTGGTGTGTGTGTGTGTGTGTGTGTGTGTGTGTGTGTGTGTGTGTGTGTGTGGTGTGGTGTGGTGTGCAGGCTCTTGTCGATCCTCACCTTCCACCTTGTTTGGGACAGAGTCTCTTCACTTAGTCCAGGCTAGCTGACTCTTGAAATTCTGGAGAGTCTCCTATCTCCCATTTCCCCAGTGCTACTGCATCTGGCTTTTGCACGGGTTCTGGGGATGGAACTCAGGCTCAGGTCACCACATTTGCCCAACAAGCACTTTTACCCTGAGCCATCTCCCCAATTCCTGATGCAGCAAGTTTGTATGGTATGCCTGGTGTGGGGCCAGCACTGTGCCAGGACTCAGCATTGAGTGAATAGGTGGGGATCTGCCTTCCAGGAGCTTGCACACTAAAGGGGGAGACTGTGTCACCATAGTGCTATGTCCCTGTGGGTGCTATGAAGAAACTGTGGTGGCCAGGGCCACCTAAGCTGGCTGGGAAAGGACTCCAGGCTCAAGGGGCAGAACTAGATTGTGGGAAGGTGGTCCCATTGCAACCAACTGCAGTCTCTGTGCCCCAGAAACCCCTTAAGTGTTAAGGCCCCTCCGCTGCTGTGACAGTGGCTGGCAGGTGAGACAGGGTCTCACATGCTTTAGTTACCTAGTGCTATGGAAGGTTACCCCATTCCTTCGTGACTTGGGGTACCGGGCATGCTGTCTCCAGGTCTCTGAGAGTGACAATGTGGGGGTGGCTTAGCTCAGCAGGAGAGGCGCTGTTTCTGGCCCAGAATTACTCACAAGGTGGATTGGGGACCCATTTGGGGGGTGAGCATTGCTCACAGCGTACTGAGACACAGGGCCAAAGTGGAAGTCACAGGGACTTTTTCTGTGTGTGAGAGAGTGAGACAGGGTCTCATTATGTAGCCCTGGCTGGCCTGAAACTTGCTGTGTAACCCAGGCTGACCTGTACTCACTCTGAAGCCTATTTGTATACATTCTGACAGTTGATGCTTCTTTACTGCTGTGTAGTACTCTGTCATATGAATGTACCATAGTTTATATACCCATTCTTCTGCAGATGGGCATTTGAGTTTCTTGTGCATAAAGTTGCAAACTCACAAGAGACTGAGGTATAGGCCAGAAGGCTAATGTGTAGTTCAGGGTGGAGAAATATAATAGCAGTGAGTGAGCTAAGGCCTAGCCTTAGGACTGCTCAGTGTCACAAGTTCTCATCCAGGGTACTGACTGAGTGATTGGAGGCTCAGTCTTCATGCTGATTTATGTATTGCTCTGACTATGATACTGAGCAGAAACAAGTTAAGGGAAGAAGAGGAAAGATTCATTTTGGCTCATGGTTGTAGACAGTATCAGTGTGCCAGGACCAGGAGGGTACGGCAAAGCGGCTAGGTCATGGTGTCATGGTGGTGGTCCACACCCGTGAGCCCAGCACTCGGGAAGTAGAGGCAGGAGATTACTATGAGTTTGAAACCAACCTGGGCTACATAGCAAGGACCATGTGAGTGCTTCCTGGTAGGACTCTGTCTCAAACAAAATCAAATTCATTGTGGTGGCAGGAGTGAGGGTGCCGAGAGTGAGGCAGGCGCTAGGGTCCTGCTGTGACCTGCAGAAGCCCACCCCTGGTCATCTACTGCCAGCCAGGCCTTGCTGCCCCAAGAAGAGTGCCACCAGCTGGGGACCAAGTATTCAAAACCATAATCTCATGGTAATCACTGGAGGGCAGGTGGGGCCGCAGGAGGCAGGAGGCAGGAGGCAAGCGCTAGTGTTTGGGAATGGCTCAGCCCTCTCAGTGGAGATGGTCCCCGTGTTGCTTTGTGTTTGCTATGTCTCCTGTGACCCAGCTAGAGAGGCCCTGCTGGATAGGATCCTTTCCTTTTCCACCTCCAAGCTGACTGACTGCTCAATTCTTTGGGTACATTTGCCCTCTGGATAAGGGCAGCCAGCCAGGCTGAATCCCCTGGTCAAAAGCTTGCAGGCTTTTTATTTTCTGTTTTGTTTTTGAGACAAAGTCTCATGTAGTCCAGGCTGGCCCCTAACTTGCTGTGTAGCTGAGGGTGACTTTGGACTCCTAATCCTCTTGCCTCCACCTTCCAAGTGCTGAGATTATAGGTGTGTACCACCATGCCTGATTTATATGATGGTAGGGGTTAAATCCAGGGCTTTGTGCATGCTAGGCAAGCCTTCCACCAACTGAGCTCTAGCCTCAGCCTTTCTCTTTTCCTTCTTTCTTTTTCTTTCTTTCTTTCTTTCTTTCTTTCTTTCTTTCTTTCTTTCTTTCTTTCTTTCTTTCTTTCTTTCTTTCTTTCTTTCTTTCTTTTTCTCACTCTCATTTTGGGAGTTGAGACAGAGTCTCCCTGTAGGCCCAGGCATGTAGACTAGGCTGGCCTCAATCTCACAGAGATCCCCCTGCCTCTGCCTCCTGAGTGCTGGAATTAAAGGCATGCACCATCATGCCCAGCTCTTTCTTCTTTTGAAATGGCCTCATGTATCCCAGGCTGACCTCAAACTCCCTATGTAGTTAAAGATGACTTTGAACTCCTGATCCTGCAACTTCCATCTCCATGTGCTGTGCCATGCAGACTTTTTGGAAGCCTTCTGCAGAATCTGAGTTTGCTAGTTAATTTCTCTAATTTAAGGCCCTTGGCTCTGGGGTGCCTCATTGTCCCTTTCCCACCATAGGGCCTGTTTAGAAGACTGGAAATTGTAACACTGACAGGCAGGTGACATGAAGGAACCCAAGATGGCATCATCGGGAACCTTGGGCTCTGTCACTAGCCTTGGCTTATCATCCCACCCCACACTGGGGCACAGCTGTGTACTGAAGAGAGGAAGACATTGGTGCCTTCAGACATCTGCCAGCCCTGTCCTCTACTGCCTGTGTCCTGGGTTTCAAGGAGTCGCTGCTCCTGGGGGGCGGCGAGCACAGGTGATTAATGCCACCATAGCTACACGCTCCTGTGTTCAGATGTGCAGCCTTATCAGCGGTACCCAGCTGCTGTTCTCCAGACTTGGAGCCCCCTCGGCGCCCAGCCTGTCCTCACATCTCTGAACAGTGTCTTGCAAAGTGCCATAAAGGCACTTCTTAAAACACATCATTGAATTCCCGTTTGCCTGGTGCGCTTTATGACCCTGGCAGAGCCTGCTTCCTCCTCTCTGGCTTTCATGCCCTAGAGCTGCTGGAAGCTTGGTCCAGGGTCAAGCCTCCCCATCAAAGTTTACTGCAAACATCTTTTCACACCACCTGTCTCAGTGAGCGGTGAAATGCTCTTGCCTCTTCAAAAATGAAAGAGAATGAAAATGCATGTTTTACATCTTTTATCAAAAAATAAAACTCACTTGAGCTTTAAGTCTGCATCTGTCCTCTTGGCAGAAGGAGGAGGGGAGTAGGAAGGAGGGGGTCTGGGAGGTGGCCCGGAAAGATGAAG